GATGTGGTAAGTGTATTAACTCCACATGAACTTAGAAGATTAAAAACTCTCTTTCTCTCTCCCTCTCTCTCTCCCCCCTCTCTCTCTCCCTCTCTCTCTCTCTCCTGCAGTTACCTGATGAAGTAGCTGATTTAAGCGGTCGGATTCATCCAGGGGATAAAATACTGGCCATTAATGGAGAAGATATATCAATGGCTGGCCAGGACTTTGTCAGCTCATTGTTACAAGTAACTTTTAACATTCACACCATTTATAATGTATTGTCCTCCATTATTATTGTTCCTCTCTCCCTCCAGAGCTGTCATGGTAGGGTCTCACTAACTATACAGCATGTGGTTCATAATACCCAGTTATACCAGTCAACACAGTCACCTACCAAGAAAAGTAACTCTCTCTCTCTCTCACACACACACACACACACACACACACCTGTACATGTACATTAGATTTGCATGTTTTTTAGAATAGTTACATTATACATGTACATTTACATGTGACCTTAATGTGGTCTGGCTGGGTAGTTTCACAGTAATTATTAAAAATAACTTTCATTATAATTTTTGAACCAGCAAAAATAACACAACACTTATGTACAATGTACAACATGATGTTTATTTAATTATCAGTAATTGTGTTATTCTATTTTAGCTGGAGCTCCTCCACTATACAATCCCTCATCTCCACCAATCAGGTTACAGCGACCAATAGACCCGCCCCCATACGCTTCATCTGAAGCCACACCCATGAGACTAGACCCCGCCCCTTCCTCCGCCTATCAGGACAACAGCTACTCCCCTAGACATCATCACGGGGTCATACAGCAGACTCAATATCGTGACGTGGTGGGACAGAGTCTTCCTGAAGCATCACTCTCTCCTGCTCCTCCTCCTCCTCCTCCTGGTAACAGTCAGTATGGGAACAGGGACATTGGGAGAGAAGGATACCAGTCTGACCATCATAGAACCAAGTTAGTCTTCAAATCTCTCTCTCCTCCTCTCTCTTTCTCTCCTCCTCCTCTCTCTCTCCTCCTCCTCCTCTCTCCCTCTCTCTCCCTCCCTCTCTCTGTCTCTCTCTCCTCCTCCTCCTCTCTCTCTCTCCTCCTCCCTCCCTCTCTCTCTCTCTTCTCTCATTTGAGGAACATTGACATAAGATGGGTTTGGTCTGGCTTGGGCAATTTCACAGTAATTATTTAAAATAGTATTCATTACTGTTGAATCAGCAATTTATTATGCTTATTGGGATAGAACAGGAGTGGATATCCACTCTTCGGTAGAAGGATTACATCCTTTCTTAATTGCTTCAATTATTATTCTTTGTTTTTTTTGTTGCAGTATCTTTTTAAATATTTTCTTTATTCTCTTTCTATTAGTTTACGTTACGTTAAGCTCACTCGGGGTCCTAAAGGATTAGGTTTCTCAGTGGCTGGTGGTAAGGGAAGTCCTAATGGGGACCTCCCTATATGTATCCGCTCAGTGATCCCTGAGTGTACAGCTGCTAGGGATGGGCGGATCAGACAGGGTGATGTTATACTATCTGTTAATGGAATCAGTTTTGAGAATATTTCACATAAAGTTGCTGTGGAAACCTTAACTCGTTTCCGTGGAGATATAACACTGAAGCTGTGCTCACCTTGAAAAGTGAAACTTTCACTAATTATTGTGCATATTCAATTTTAATATTAATTTTTGAACAAAACTACAATTTATTACTATTTTTAAAACACATAATTCACTTTTCAAATTTAAATTGAATTCATCTCACTATTGGTTCGTTTGCACGTGCTTCCCACGTTCTGAATAAGTAGAACAACTCACTGTTCAAATTTAAAATTGAATTATCCCATCGGTTTATTTGCACGTGTTCCCCACGTTCTGAATAAGTAGAATAACTCTGGGTTTTTATAACTTCAGTGTGTTAGTAGTGTTATAACCTGCTCCGCTTCTTTTCACCATGGTCCCACTTCTTCTTGGTCCATTATGCCATTTATCGCTGCTGGTAATGGCCGTAAAGCGAGTGAAGAGCTTAGTCTCGTGTTTTCTCTGGAATCTGTTAGGTTAGTTTTTTTTGTTCTGGCCCTTTGTTGAATTATTGTAAAAATGTCATTATGACAGATCTGTTATAATTAGCACATCATTATGTGTTATAATAAAGTACAAGCGATGTAGGAATTATGAGCTGATAATTATGTTCTCTTTGATGTCTGTCTCTTTTGAAAGAGAAATTCATTGAAGCTAGATCTAAACGGCGGAATTTCCTGTTTGCATACCCTCTGTGGCTTACCACTCTGGCCTACTATACCTATTTGCTAATTATGCAAACACAGATTATAGACCCCCTATAGGTGCTAAGACTATTTTGAATGAATTATTTACGGTAGCCATCCACGATTAAAATTACTGACGGCAAGAAGCTCTCCACATCAAAGGCAGATCAAAGCCCAAGGTGCTGAAATGAAGCATAGCAAGAAAACTATGTTGCAGCAAGAGTTACCTGGTCTATATGATGTAGTCTGGCCTCCATACTTTCCAAAAATGCTGTTTGTAAGCCTGTAGTACCTTGTAGCGCTCAGAAAAATGTCCAGGCGGTGTCACCGCCTTTGATTTTCTTTTGATCTTGAGGCCTTCTTGCCGTCAGTAATTTACATCGTGGGTGGATACCATATAGGGTAGAATAATTTATTATGAATGAATATCATTATTGTAATCATTTGTATGGCTCACTCAGTTAGTAATTTTAGACTGAATACTGTATGAGTGGTTTTTTTCAAGAGAATTATATTTCATGAAATCTGCTAAAATTCAAATTCGTGGATTTTAATTTTGCGAATTCTACCACGTGTGCCATGCGGGTACCGTATTAAATTCATTTTTGCAGATTTTATTTTCGCAAATCAGGAGGGAATCCGCGAAATTCGCAAAATTTGTAACCCTAAAAAAACCATTTATACGGTATATTTATTTTACAAACTAAGTTGCATATCTTTCTATTGTGGAGTGTTTATTTGGCTATTATTTATTGATGCATTTTTGGTCAGTACAAGTTATACTTGTGAGAGTTTAACGCTGAGAGTAGGCAATAGCTGTTATGCTATAACTAATGAGCTGATTATTATTAAAGGAGAAAAACTGAGAGAGAGAGAACAACACTAACTCATAACCAGCACAGAACAAAATCAATACACACTATTTATAGTGTGTATTGTGTGTATTTATTATCTGTATATCTGTATAGTGTGTATTTATTGCATAACATAAACCACAACCAAAAGAATGTAACAGTGTATACTGTTAACAGTGCATAGTATTGTAAATACTTTCATTTTCATTCTTGTTACATTTAATTGTAGGATCACTTTCTTTTGCTGCTGTAATTTTTGTCACTAATTATGCAGTTGAAAGCACAGAGTGGCAAATTGTCTTGTGCTTGATATTTTCTGTTATATTTGCAGCATATAAATGTTACTGTCATGTCAAGGAGAAACAGAAGCAAAATTCCAGCCAAAAATCTGAGTCTAATGTACACAATGCAGCAGAGTACCATGAATTGTGTGAAAGCCAAACCCGTTTGTCGAAAGATTACGAAGCCAGTAAAAGAACTATTGCTGATTTGAGGGAAGAGAAGAAGAAATTAAAGAAGCAAGGAAGGGACAAAGATCTTGCTCTAGCTCAAATGACAAAGAAGCATGCCAAGGAGCTACGTTTGAAAGAGGAAGCGTTGAAGTGAAAAGACCAGCGTAAACTAGAAAATTTGAGGCAAATAGAAGAGATTAATAACCTCACAGACGAACTTAATAAGGCAAATAATCGGTCATCATCTCTAAATGAACAATTAATCAAGACACAGCAGCAATCGGAGGCATTTGCAGACCACAATCAAAAACTGGAGTCTCAAATATGTGAACTACAAGAGAATATTGAAACTTACAAGAATGAAGTCACTTCTTTAGAAGATAGACTCACCAAACATAATGTAGCAATAGTATCTCTGGAAGATCATTTGAGTGCCAAAAACTTGGAACTGAGCCAGCTGCGAGAAGAGCTCACTGCTAGTAAGAATAAAGTGGCTTCTTTGGAGGAAACTTTAAACAATAAAGAACAAGAATTATGGCATCACGAGGAAGCACTCAGAACAGCGATAGAACATGTTTTTACAAATGAGGATCGCGCAATTTATAATGCAACTTGTCAAAAGTGCTTACCTCCTCCACAGGTAGTAGTTTGTTCTGCTCCTGTGTTTCAGTCCAACAATGGCTATAGCTTGGAAGGGTATGTTATACTATTTGTTTATTAAGTTTATTTTATTGTAGGAGTGACGTTTGTGAGCTCTCTGAAAGAGATGGTGAGTGACACTTGTGCACACTGGCTGACACAACTATAGCCAATTGTTATTATGGTTTCATTATTGTTTTTTAGATGAAGGAGAGCTCTTCGTTTCTCCTGATCATTATAATTCACAATACAGCCATCATGCTTTAGTGACAAACAACCAGTCAATTGATGAATGGAATTTGTAAGCATAATGATTGTGTGGTCATCTATGTGTGTGTGTGTGTATAGGGACTTTGGCCCGATTTCGCAAAAAATGAAAAGTAGAGAATTCTCCATTTTTATTACATTTCCTGATACATATACATGTTCTTATGTTGCGTAGAAAGTTTGAGCTGGTTCTGATCAAATTTAGATTTTTTACAAATTTTTAAACTTGCTTCAAAATTTGGCCAAAATCCCTGTACTATAGTACAGGGACTTTGGCCCGATTTCGCAAAAAATGAAAACTAGAGAATTCTCCATTTTTATTACATTTCCTGATACATATACATGTACTTATGTTGTGTAGAAAATTTGAGCTGGTTCCGATCAAAATTGGATTTTTTACGAATTTTTTAATTTGCTCAAAATTGTACAAATTATTATTACATTCTGTGTGTATTACATTAAGAGGCTGACCTTTAGCATTCAAATTGATCATAATGACTGATCTTTTGTCCTTTGATAAGCAGCTACTTAATGATAATTTCCTTTCATTTCAGTTATTATTATATTGCAATGGAAGCAACCAGCTATTGTTCTCAAGTATCCACTGGTCAGTGTTACTATACACTGTCTTACTGTGTATTAATGTAATATTGTTAATAGATGTACCTCCTATGGAGTTTATACCATATAGCTTGGAAATTTCAAAGTATCGTGGTAAGCCTGTCCAATAATTATATAATTTGTATATTGATGTTTTATACACTTTTATAGATCGGCTGGTTGTGTCTCCTTTATTTCTTCCATTCCCTTTTCCTGCACCTGTCAATGAACTTCACTTAATCCCGACATAGATTGGCAACTTTCAACTTGTGGTCAGAGCTTTAATGTAGTTGGTTGCAACATGTTTTGTATAAAGTAGAAAGACTCTCAACTTTCATTAAAGCAAGTTACCTGACAGCATCAAAAGTTCTGGCGACAAAGTTACCTAGTGTATGTTGGACTAGCTTATAAAAGCAGCTGTAGTATTAAAAGGAACGATATCGTTGTACTTTTTTTATCACTATATCATGTATTATTATCCCTTTTCAATTGGACTATAGCTTAAGTGCCTTTATATTGTATATTCTAAAATCCTATTAACTCTTTTTAACCAAGCAAGGAAGAAAATTACAGCTTCATTTGAAATGAGATGTAATCAACGTTATGCACTTAGAGGACCATGTTTGAATTAATGTCTACTAAGATTCTGAATTAACTTTGTGTAGTTACTCTTTATCTATTATTCTTTCTCTCTCTCATTATTATTGTTACCTTCATTAGTAACATAAACAAGGACATTGTAAATTGTTATTTTATTTAGAAAAATTAATTTTATTGCTATGTATAGATATACTTGACAAAACCAGCTTACACAATAATTTTTATTATAAAAAAATTACCAAAAAATATTCAAAAAGGGGGTGGGTCCGGCTTGCTATTTCAGTGAGTAAGCCCTGCATAATGCTGGTTTTGTACTGCTATATATTCTGTGGAATTTTGTTACAGAAGGTTTGCTATACTGATCCTGCCGAGGATCATGCTTCTATTCTGACTGGAAGGACCTTAGGTGAGCAGTTCTGCTTCAGGATATTTAGAAATACCGTCAATACTTTTGACAAGCTTTTATTATGACTTAACAGCTTGATTTTGAGTTAGATCTACATCAAAAAGGATTTTAAAATGTAATAATAATAGATCTGATCCTCAGTACCAAAAAAAATATAATATATATATATAATCTGAGGTTCTATCCCTTCAGGAACTTTTGAAAAGTGGGCCTTAGGGGTGGGGGGTAGTCTCAGACTTTGGCGGCTGCAGAATTCCAACTCAGCCTAGGCATTTCTAATTAAAGGGGTGTGGTAAAAGGGTTAAATAGCATTGTTTCTACTTCCGGTCTAATTTTTAACCTAGGCAATGACCCCCAATGCCTAGGCCTGCAGCCGCCTATGGTCTCAGACTCAGTATCCTAGCCTAGTACTGAGCCTACAGTCATTTGGGTGCTCCCAAATGACTGACTGACTGTAGGCTGGGGAATGGTCAGGTCTGGCCACGCGAGACTAATCACAGAGGCTAGCTCTGTGATCGGATAGTAGGGGCAGCACCATTGCAGTCATTTGCCATGGCCACTGTCTAAAATTTTATTCATGTAGATCGAATCATTTTCCTCTGATATTATCATTAGTGTAGGGTTCACCTAGTAATACTGTCATTTTATTATTATATCTAGATAGCAATGATCTAAATCAAGTGATTGCATTACTTGAGAGACATCAGTACAACAAAGCATCGTATTATCAACTTGGTCTACGTCTTCTATTATTTGATAATACACTGAGGATCATTGAGCAAGAACATAAAGGACAAGTAGATCGTTGTTTCACGGAGTGTTTGGCTAGATGGTTGCGTAAATTTGATGGTGTGAAGAACCCAACAATAGATGCACTGATAGCTGCTCTTAGAGAAATAGGAGAGAATGCTGTAGCTGATGGTATTAATAAAGAAAGGAAAAGTAAATTAATTTTTTATTAATTTTATGTTAAATAAAATTTCAATATTAGCCACACACCCAAAACTGCATACCAGTGAAGGTTAGATAAGCACAACATAGTGACATTTCTAATACATTGTATGTTTCTTCATAGGGCATGATTCAACACAGTCAGCCATTGTTAACCCAGGTAAGAGCTAAAAACGGAGTAGTTTTATGTATTGTTGCAGGTGTTCATGATCTTGAGCACAGAATTGATCAAGTTTTTATGCTACGAGACATTGCTAATAAATTGCTGAATCAATTTGGGCATCTTGTTGTTGCTGTGAAAAATGCACTTGAAAGAAATAAATTTAATGTAGACAATGCAAAAGAGTTGGTAGAAGGACATTTAAAGAGAAAAGCTCGTGTCGCTAAAAGTTTGATGCCCTGCATTGATATTCTTAAGAAGGTCAAGGATTTAAAAAGTTTTTTTGATTTTCTACGTGACTATGATTTTATTGGTTATCTCAATTACAAGCTATTGAAGGATCTATCTGAACTTGTCGATGATGATAAGCTCAAGCAACGTTTTTTTGAATATGAAAAAGAATATGCAAAATTGTTAAGTGCAGGTTCCTTCAAGCATCTGATACCTTTATTTGAAAAACAGTCTGATCTATCTCCTACTGCTCCTCTTGGCTTACCTTATGTTACCTTTCGTCTTGAGAAACCTTGGTTAATCACTAGTGTTTATACCTGGGTCTCAACCTTTGGTGAATTCTCATGGGCGCAATATACAATTTTTAAAGAATTAAGAAAGAATTGTGTCATCATCACTTATGCTATACTACCTTTTGTCCTTGATGATGTCATGAGAGATCTCAAAGATCCAGTGATATTGAAAAAGCTAGAGGATAAAGGAGTTACTGTAATTAAGTTACCACAGGAAGAGGAGAAAGAAGGTGAGAGGTTATGCAGTTTGTGCATAGCTAAATGTGTATAATTTTTTGATTTTCAGTGGCTCATGATAAAGATGTACCTGTTATCGTAAAAATAAAGCAGGAATCTAGACAAACAGCTAATCAAAAAGATGAAAAAATTAATTGTCAGCAAACATCAATTTTTGGTCAGTGTAGTCATTTTTATTTACTTGTTCATATTCTTACTTTAGATTCAAGTAATTATGTAGGCAGCATTCAATCATGGCAGTTATGGATCATGAGCTCAATAGGCTCAATAGCCATGTTTTTAATAGTTACGAAGTTCTGTGATTACCGCCGGTATGTCAAAAAAAAAAGAAAGCAGCAGAGATCCAGACACATACAACCTTTAGTGTACGATACAGACTACCATAGGATTTGTAAAAGCCAGACCCGTTTCTTCAGAGATCACGAAACTATTAAAAAGGTAAATAAAGAATTAAGAGAAGAAAAAAGAAAATTAAGAAAAGAGAAAGAAGACAAAGATCGTGCTTTAGATGAGATGACAAAGAAGGTGTACGATTTGAAAAAGGAGCTACACATAAAGATACAGGTTATTCGTGCTAATAATGAAAAAAGGCTAAAAAAAGAAGCGACTCTTAATCAAATCATTTTGAGTAGTGAGGAAGAGATTCAAGAGCTCAAACACCAACTGCGTGAAGCCAACAATGAGTCATTGTCAATGAATCGTCAGCTAATCAACAACAAAGAAGAGCTTCAACAGCTGTCAGATAAACTCATGGAGCGTGACAAAATGTTTGCATATCTTAAAGATGATTTGAGCGCCAAAAACTTAGAACTGAGCCAGCTGCAAGAAGAGCTCACTGCTAGTAAAAATGAAATTGCTTCAAATTTAGAAGAAACTTTAAAAAATAGAGAAGAGGATCCCTATTGCATAATGCACAGTGAGATTTCTGCTGAAGAATGTTTAGAACCTCAGGTGTCAAAATTTAAACCTACAATCACAATGCAAGCTGTTAGCCTCTCCACTCGAGAAAGGTAATTTATCAGTAATAAATGCTTAATTTTAAATTTTCCTAGAAATGACATTAGTGAGCTTTGTGAAAGAGAAGGTGGGTTTTGTTTTGTGTAAGTATGTACTATGTACAATGTATACACACATATATATATATATATGTATATTATATAGTATACTAGTAGGTCGCATATACAAAATATAGGACCTTTGGTTTGTGTTAGAGGATGTGATATAGCCCAAGGGCCTTAGGCCCAAGGGCTATATCACATCCTTGGACACCCACCTCAGGTCTATATTTTTGTATATAGACCTGTTTAGTATGATATATAATACACACATATATATATATATTATAATCATCTGGCAGTGTTTGTTTTTGGCAATTTTGTTTGTCATTTTTGTTTTTAGATCTACTATACGAAGAGTTTGTTCCTCCTGACCATTTAAATTTGCTGCAAGACACATGTCAAATGATGGCTAACAATATGTCTATTGAAAAGTAAGAATTTTTTTCTTGCACTTTACTCTGTGCTTGTGTTGTGTTGAAAAATGACAAGGATGATAGGCTATGGTCAGTACTAATTATGATAAGTGTATAGTGTTAGCATTCCAATGGACCAAAAAATAAACCCATGTACTTTGATGTTATTTGCTAAATAAATCAAGTTATTAGACTTTTTTTATAGCTATCTTCATCTTCCATTGAAAAAAATTAGCAGTTGCTCTGAATTTTGCATTGGTCAGTTTCATATGCTTATTCTACAATGCATTACTTTGTTTTGATATTTAGATTTCAAGATTTAGCTTGGAATTTTCAGAATATCACTGTGTGGCGGTAAGCTTATGCAATAGATTGGTTCTGTAGTGATGTTATTACTCATAGATTTTCCTGCCGTCCCTCCCAATCAAGTTAAAATCTCTTAACTGAGTCAATGAACAAGATTACAACTTCTTTATTATGTCCACTCTTTTATATACTGGTTTGACTTCATTTGACTTTGTTTGATAGGCATAGGCAGTGACATGGCAGCGGGTAGGGAATTTGTCTTATAATTTTTTTGTAGAGTTTTTGATACCATTTGATAATCTTCATCATCTAGTGATCTTTCTTTGTGCAACCCTGTGTTGCCACTATTAATTAATTTATCCTACCAATGGCAATCGTAAGCACTTGTCTATATACGCCCTTGTGTTTATTACTTTTATTTGTTTTTTATTTTTATTCCTTTTTAGGAGTTACTATGAATGTATAAACATAACATATAGGATTATACTCTACTGCATATAATGCTGTTATTAGTATAAGGCAATGTTGCAAGGAGCTTCATTATGCTGGATATAAAGTTGTTCCCAAATCATGCCAAAGTCCCTGTACTGTACAGGGACTTTGGCCAAATTTTGCCAAAAATGAAAAGGTCCATTTCTATTACATTTCCTGATACATATACATGTACTTATGTTGTGTAGAAAGTTTGAGCTGGCTCCGATCAAATTTTTTATGAACTTTTAAAGTTACTCTAAAATTGGCCGGCGAAAAACATGCATGATCTGATCCTTTTGGAAATGAAAACTGACATTGAGTTTATCACAACAAACACACAGTAATGCATTACTAAGTATTCCTTTTGATACCAAAAAACAACAAAAAACTTATCATTATCAAACATATCAGGCTCAGCCATATAGAGTATATTATATTTCTGCTACTGGTTACCATTTTGTAATTGTTCAAACAATAATTTGTTTAACTTTCTGGATTATGAAAATTTTATAATTACAAAAACTAACCTAAATTTAGTCAGTTAGTTATTGTTATTTATTTAGTACAGCATACACATAATGGGCAGCAGCACGGGCTGCAAATGGCTTCCATTTTTTAGTGGCTTCTTTGTCACCATCACCCCAGTCACCAATACCCTTGATGACAATAGCACTAACACCACGTTCAGGAGCATAATCAATAGCAGTCATTATTCCAGCTCCTTCCATTTCTCCTGCAATAGCATCAGGTTTTTGGTCAAGCAATTTCTTTTTAACGTCAGGATTATCGATCAGACTGCCTGTAGATATAAGGACACCAGTAGAGACTGTAATATTGTGTGGCATTTCAAAACCATGAGTAGGTCGGAATTTGTTTAGAATAGCTGGCTTTACTTGGTGTTGAGGGCCTCTCTGATACTCATTTTCACCCAACCCTTCACGTTTATTTGTGAAATCACAGATCGTGCCTGAAATGATAACGTCACCTAACTTCTGCTTTCCTGGATCCATTCCAAAACAGACACCGACAGCAACAACATATTTGATCCTCAGAAACTTTTCTAACATTTTTGATGTGATGACACCAGCGTGAATTGGACCCTGCCTGCTCTTATCTGGTGCGGTCATCACAACAATGACCTTGCTTTTTCCATAATGTCCTATGTATATCCTCAGACCATCAATGTATGTTTCAATGACCTTTTTAGATGATTTCTTCAGATAATACACCACTAAGTCTTCTTCACTTGTAGTGGCTGGCATAAGTAGGATTTCAATATCTTTAACAAGGTCTTTATGAAACTCTTGAGTTTCAGGGACACGATTTATGATTTTATCATCATACTGCCAGTCTGGTAGGTCTAAAAAAACCACATGACTTTTGAATGTAGATAATGTTCTTGTATTATTGTGTGTGTGTGTGTGTGATTTTATATAATTCTATAGTTTAATTGTTTTATTTTTATCACAGCATGGAGCTGCATGAGTAATATTAATTTGCAAAGCTCCTTGTTTTGCAACTTAATATTACAGCCAACTATAAGCCAGCTTACAAACTACATAAGCATGATCTGAATTATTTTGTGAGTATAATTACGCATGTATGATGTATAGACTATTAAAAAACTATTACTATTACTGTAATAAAAGGAATAAAGTATTATAATTATGCAATAAACTATTGTTGTGTGTAGAATATTACTGTATTGGTTACCTTGCGGGGGTCCATCAGTTTCCTCATCAGCTGCACATGCTTCAGACTCTCCATCTAGAATACCATTAATATAGGATCATTATTTTTATAGACTATAGTATCATGCTTCTATCAAAAAGTTTTCATTATGTGGTTTTATGAGTAGCAGCTGTGCTATCTGGAGGAATTCCCATATCTATTGTGTGGCTGTGTGTTGTCTGGATTCTACAACTGTAGTAACAAGCTGTTTTAGGGACTTTTGAAGCTGTGTTTCAATAGCTAATTAGGGTTTCATTGAAGACAAAATTTATTTATTGCTTTCAGCCTAGTAGAGAGCCTTTACAGGAATCAAATCATTTCAACAGGTTATATTACCATTATATTTGTATTCAGAACCACATTTCTTAGTGCTGGCAGGATCAAGTTTCCGCCCTAGATTAGAGAATAGTTAAATCTACCAATTACAGTTCCATTTAGCCATACTTTTAGCTGGTTTCTTTCCTCGTGATAAACCTCCTAAAATAGTAAAATATACTGTAAATTTACATATACAATTAATAAATTTTTAATTTTATGCATAGCAGTACCAGTTATACTGCTTTAATATTAAGTATTGTCAATAATCTATTAAATGGCAAATAAAATTGCTGCTAGTTGAATTGTTATTGATTTATTATTTCAATTACAATTGTGCAATGCCACCTGTTAAGCCAAAAACTCTTTTCCATTGCATGTGCATGACAATAAATATGCTAGGTAAGATAACAATCTTGTTTTGCACTCACTTATATAGTCAGCTTGGTGTTTATTATTCTTCATCTGGTCAAGAGCATCAGCAAGTGAACTGTAACTTGGCTTTCCATTACATTTGCTATCAACATCATCAGCTCTGCTCAGCCACTTTACAAGGCATTCAGTAAAACACCTATCAACGTCACCTCTTTCATTTACACTAATCACATCCAGTGTATTTTTATGCAGACCAAGTTTTCTTCCTAATTTATCCCAATCTGCTGTATTAAATTGTGCGTCCTCTAAATTTTGTATCACATTATCTAAATCACGAATGTTCAACCCTAAAAGTTAACAGATGTTGAAAGACTATAAAGAACTAATAATAGCCATAAATACTACACCTTTGCACTACTGTAGCTATATTTGGAAATTTTTACTGTGACTTTTATTTAGCGATCGAGATGAGAAATCCACAAAAATTGGATTACACTAGCTTTTGCATATTGGATCTACCACTATAGTCTACTTTTATGTTATAAGTTATTTTAATTGGTTCATCATTTACATGAACTTGTTGTTACCCCTAGGCCTGATGACAACAGCATTACAATATGTGTCACAGGGCTATATATATATACTATACTGTTATAGAGTTACTTTATGTCAGAGTAAAGTACATCAGCTACAAAGTTAATTAAACACTCACCTTCTGCTAGGTAAATTAATTGTAAGGAGAACAGCAAGAGGGTTGGAATGAAGCTCATTACTGCACTGAACACGTACACACAGAGAACAGTAAACAGTTATAAAGTGGGTGGATACACCTACACAGCCAAGAATTATCATCTCTGATACAGGCCACTACCCAAAGTCAATGATTCAGGCCTGATGTCTATTTTGATACAGCCCTGACTGGCATCAATGTTGAATCATGTCTGTTGCTCTGGCTGAAGCCAGGGCCGTACTCCAGCATGGTTGTATCATAAATGATCATCATGATTGTATACTAGACTCATTGCTTTGCAGGCTGCCCAAAATCCATGATACAGGAATGTATCAATGCTGATCCTGATTGATATCAGTCATGATTCAAAGTAAAATTCTTGGCTGTGTACTGGTGTGTTATTTTTTATTAACTTACTAACAGAGTTTATATAGTAGACTTAGTGGTACGATTCTTTCCATTTCTTGTGTAGTGGAACAAACCTGACAGCCCTTGAAAAATGACCACAATTATCTACTAGCTGAATCATTTTAGATCTAACTCATAATAATTAAAATTGTACTATGCTATTATCATTATTAATTAAAGGGCAATAATGTAAAGGCCTAAAGGGTTTTTAGTTTATCAGGTATCCTTTCAGCAGCTGCACAGTCTCCTGTTCCCTCCACAGCATCTATCAAAGTCTGCCATGTTCTACTAGTTACATTATCTTCACCCTCGGCCTATAGCCATGCTTCTA